AGGAGGACAATGTTATCCATCACTATTATAACATTCGCCGAGCCTTAGCCGCCGGGGATGAGCTCGTCTGTCAGGGGAAGGCGGGGCGGAGGTGGAAGAAGGGAAGAAAATGAGGACAAATTATAAGAGGAATGAGGATTAAAAAAGAGGGATGAGGTACGAGAGAAGAAGGAGGGAATGCCGTTCAGAGGAAGACGAAAACGAAAGGGCTGATAAAGGGGTGGAATGAATAATGTCATTAACGTGGGGAATACGTGACGATTCTGGTGATGATTACAAATGAGGAATACTGCTTGCTTGGACTTTGAAATATGAGCACACACACACATGCGCGTACACACCCTATGCACACACACATGCACAATCTACCCTCTCTCTCTGTCTGTCTCCCTTGCTCTTTCTCTGTCTGTCTTTCTGTCTCTGTCTATTTGTCTGTCTGTCTGTCTCTCTCTCCCTCCTCTCTGTCTATTTGTCTGTCTGTCTGTCTCTCTCTCTCCTTCCTCTCTGTCTATTTGTCTGTCTGTCTATCTATCTCTCCCTCCTCTCTCTCTCTATCTCCCTCTCTTTCTCTCTCTCTTGCTTCTTGCATTCTCCTTCCCTCCTCCTTCTTCCTTCCCTACCCATCCTCCCCTCCTCCTCACACACACAGCGAAAGAGAGAGAGAGAGAGAGAGAGAGAGAGGAGAGAGAGAGAGAGAGAGAGAGAGAGAGAGAGAGAGAGAGAGAGAGAGAGAGAGAGAGAGAGAGAGAGAGCGAGCAACAGGAAATCGACAACATCCTATCTATTGCTATCTCTTCTCATTCGACAATCTGAACGAGAACGGTATGCTTCGCCGACTACACGCCCACGCCCACGCCCACGCCCACGTAATACCACAAACGACGAGATTTCTCCCTCCCCTCCCAGTGGTTTTCTAAGGTAAAATGGGCGTGTGTGATTCCTTTCTATTCGGTGGATGTGGTATCTAATTTTGTCGTAAATGTGGGCGTGTCAGAGATTTTTTTTAGCCACGCCCCTATTATTCTTCGTAATAATGAGAGTGGAATGTGTGTGACGAGGAATGGTGATAAAGCAAATGATAAATAGATAATGAAAAAAATGATGAAAAAAATATTTTTTAAAAAAATTAAAGATCAAGGACAGCACTAATGATGATGATAAAAAAGAAATGACATAATGTAGAAAAATAAGAAGAGTTAAAAGAAGAAGAGAAAAAAAAGTAATAAAACAAAATAAATAAAATAAAAAATAATGATGATTAAATAAACATTCAAAAAGACGAAAAAAAAAAAAATCAGAAACAAAACCCAAGTATAATAACCAAACAAAAGATAATTAAAAAAACAAACATGACCATCATAAAAGACAAAAATAGAGAGAGAGAAAAAAAGGAAAATCAGGCATGACCTATAAACTCCCGATGATGATTTCCTCTCACTTTGCCCTGCCATGAAGGTACGTTCCAGTCATTACCAAGGTGATAAGGGAGAAGGGGGAGGGGAGGGAAGGGAAATGAGAGCGGGGGAGGGGGGAGGAAGGAGAAAGGGGAATTAAAAGGGAAGAGAGGGGTGTAATGGAGAAGAGAGGGAGGGGATGGGAAATGAAGAGGAAGTGAGAGGAAGGAGAAAGGGGAAATGGAAGGGAAGGTGATGAGGGGAAAAGGGGAGAGGGGAAAGGAGGGGATATGAGGCGGGGGGGAGGAGAAAGGGGAATTAAAAGGGAAGAGGGGGGGTAATGGAGTAGAGGGGGAGGAGGGAAGAGGAAGGAAATGAAGAGGAAGTGGGAGGAAGGAGAAAGGGGAAATGGAAGGGAAGGTGATGAGGGGAAAGGGGAGGAGGGGAAATGAGGGCGGGGGAGGAGGGGAGGGGAGAAAAGGGAATTAAAAGGGAAGAGAGGGGGGGGTAATGGAGAAGAGGGGGAGGGAGAGGAAGGGAAATGAAGAGAAGTGGGAGGAAGGAGAAAGGGGAAATGGAAGGGAAAGTGATGAGGGGAAAGGGAGGAGGGGAGGGAGGGGGAAATGAGGGCGGGAGGGGGAGAGGGAGGAAAGGGGGATTAAAAGGAAAGAGGGGGGAGGGGTAATGGAGAAGAGGGAAGGGAAGAGGAAGGGAAATGAAGAGGAAGTAGGAGGAAGGGAGAAAGGGGAAATGAAAGGGAAGGTGATGAGGGGAAAAGGGGGGAGGGAAAGAGGAGAAATGAGGGGAGGGGAGGAGAGAGAAAGAGGAAATGGAAGGGAAGGTGAAAGGGGAGGAGGGGTAATGGTGGAAGGTGGAAGAGGAGGTGGAGGGGGAGAGGAAAGAGGAGGAGGAAGAGGAGGAGGAGGAGGAGGAGGAGAGAGGAGGAGGAGGAGGAGGAGGAGGAGGAGGAGGAGGAGGAGAAGAAGAAGGAGGAGTGGAGGAAGAAGGAGAGGTGGAGGGGGGGGGCAGAGGAGGAGGAGGTAGAAAGGTAGAAAAAAAGAGGGGAAGGGGAGGGGAGAAGGGAGAAATGAAAGAAGGCGATAAAAAGGGTAGGAGAAAAGGAGGGTAAAAACGGTGACTAGATGATGAAAGAGAAGATAAGAGAAGAGAGAGAGAGCTAATAAAGAAAAGAAAGAGGGATAAAACTAAGGAGAAAAAGTACGAC